TATAAGCACCCGGCGAAACCCCGGTTCGTGCAGCCGTAATGGCAGCTGCGGCTGCTGCTGCAGTCCTGGCTCCAACGCCGCCGTCCCTCCCAAGGGTGAGTAGCTCAGCCCAGGGCTTTCTTGAGAAGGTACTACTGCCCCCCAATCCTCTCTGTGCCCTTCCTGCGCCCGTGACAGTGTCACGCTGCCGTCACAGACATGAGTAGCAGTTACAACATACTATACCATAGGTTATGCCCAGGCAGGGGACACAAGATGAAGGCTTGACATACAAAATGGAAACTTGACATTACTTTATAGACCCAGTCCTAAATCATATAAATTCAATATAAAACAGTTAAAATCCATACAAACATAATAGGAATACAATATAATACAATATAAAGCAGTAAAAATCAATACAAACATATCAGAACACTATTTACAATATAAAAAGAAGCTTATTACAATAATAGCATACAAGAATTTAGCTTACCTATGACTACTTGTAATTACATATAAGTGATAGAGAGGGCAGAGATAAAGTTAGAAATGGTTGGGGGAGGAGAGGGAATATATTTTTAAATAATAAACAAAGAAGAGAAAAGAATAACTGGGGGTTTTGCTACAGAATCAGTTTGTAACTGCACAGACATCCCAGAAATGCAGGCACATGACTGCAGTGGCTCAGGCTAGAAGCTGGGGGACGCTAGAGCATCCCTCCCTACTCTTCCATGGTGCTGAGCTGATGTGGTGTGGCTAGGTTCTGGCAAGATGCTCTGATTAGGGAAGGGTGTCCTCCCCTCCTCCTTCTGACTAGCCCATCAGGGAATTGATAACATAGTGTGTATCACCCCTAACTTAGTGCTTATCACCCTATTAAGACATCAAGAGGGACATTACCAGGTACCTGTTGATTCTGCCTTTGTCCTGTCTGCCACAGCATGGACTGTAGCCAGCACGTGGTCTGTTAGCTAATGCTGAGAGATGCCTATGTAAGGCAGAGGGGATGGTGGAATCTGTGCTTAGCGGAGGGGGTGTGGGGAGCAGGGGAAGCTAGGCAGACACCCGCAGTCTCTGCTGGAGCTTCAGCAAGGGAGAAGAGGGGAGGAGCCAGCCCTGCTGTAGAACAAAGTACCCTGCCCAGCCCAGAGAGCATGCCAGGATACTGGGGGAATCTGGTTTAACTTAAACCAGCAAAGGGTCTGGGACAGATAGTGCATAAACCAGTTTGACCCAAATCAGTTAAATCTGATACTACATTCAACCAGTTTTATTTCAAACTGGTTTCAGCCATTTTCAAACTGGTTTATGTGCACTGAACATCTGTTACAGGTTTCTGTTACAGGTTTAAACCAGTTTCTGATCACTTAAACTGGTTTATGTGTAATGTCTGTCCCTAGCCCTACTGACTTTCTGTTGGGCACGGGCACCCAACTTAAATATCTTTTGAAAATCCCAGGTTTTCCTCTTAAAACCATTGGAACCAGGGAGAAAATACTAGCACTATGACATACCTTAAAACAGATGGATGAGCACTTGTCTTGGAGCATTCTTAAGAGCTGTAACCACTGACAGTGAAGTTACATATTACACTTAGGCCATACTAAGTACACTTAAAACTTGAGTGTCCTCATGTTAAAGCCTGTTAACTTATGCCAAGTGCCTTCTGAACATCTCAAACTTGTGCCTTTCTGCACTCCCATTCCTGTGTAAGAGGCAAGCACTGAAGAAGAAGCAGGCAGCAGGAGACTAATTCTTTGGAGAGCCCTGCTGGAAAGATAGGCAGCAAGGTGTGTATATCTGTGTATATGCGTCTGTAGGGTCTGATTCAAAGCCCAGTTAAGTCAAAACCTGTCTGTTTGCTGATAAGGGATAGGGACAGATGTTCAAAAAGCCTGAGCCTGAATTGATTCCATCTTTGCAGGTGCTAGAGCAGCCCTCCCTACTCTTCATCAGTGCTGAGCTGAGAGGGGTATGGCCAGGCTCCAGCAGGATGCTCTGATTAGGGAGGGGTTCCCCCCTGCTCCTCGCCAGCCCAGCAGGGAATTGATAACACAGTGTGTCTCAGAGCACTAAAGTGTGCCTACTTTAGTGTTTATTTCTAACATTAATCTTCTGGTACTAGGATCCCTGTCTATTACAATGTACCCTTGTGCTTCTAGACCCACTGTTGCTAAAGAAACACCGCTGAGATATCCTGAGTCTAAACCCAGCATTGGTTTACAATTGAACCCTTCTTAGTACTGTTGTATGAAGGTAGTACTTTGAGGACCAGTGTCATGCTGCTTTCCAGTCAGTTACTGATATGCCAACATCATTTCCTGAGAAATCCTAATTTAGGGATGGAGGGAAAGTGGCATGATTTGGAATGACATGCTCAGAAGTGACAGGTGTGAAAAGCTGGGGTACATGTGGTTGACCTATATCTCTACCTAAAGGTATCTAATGCCCCCCGCAGGGCACTGGAGGTACATACACATTTCTGAATGTTTTCAGTCTGTTGCTTCTGGTTTTATATATAATTTGAACACAACAACTCTTGGCAGCTAAAAGTGGAGAGAGGATTATGGTTAGTAACAGTGTATAAAAACATCCAAGCCAATTTAGACGTCAGTCTCTCTGGAGCAAAGACAGCATCTGTGATTTTATGGAGCCTGTGAAAATTGTATTAATTTTAGTAGGTTGCTGTTTGTCCAGTTCCCATGATGGTGTTTGTGGCAAAACAGTTTTCATAAGAAAAAAAATCTAGATTATTAGGGATAGGGGGTTTATACATTATGAAAGCAAGGACCTAGGATCTCTGGCAGTCTCCAGCACAGTACATATTAACAGCCTGCTAACTTTTTATGCCACAATGCAACTGTATTTCAGTCCTGACCCGCAACAACCTTCTGCTATTCAAGTCCTTATCCTTGCCTTAGAAGGAAATGGCAAATTGTAACAGATTGCATGATGTTTTTTGTTCTGTGCACATTTAGATAAAACCATCAAACACATTTTCACTTGTGACCCAAGTCAGAATTTAAACTCAAGTCTCTGGAGGTGAAAAGCTCACACATTAACTCACAGCACCACCCACAGCTTTCTTTGCCACCTGCCTGCCCTGTGAACAACTGTTGCAATGCAAAAAGCCAAGGGCAAGTGCTTCAGCTTCATTAGAGTTGTGTCTTACTCCCCGCCTCGCCAGTCACAGAAAGAAGCCACATGTACATTAAACAACAGGTCATTTCTCTTACATAACACAAACTGTGGGACTATATTTTACTGAAACACATCTCATCTCAGCCCTAAATTGTAACCCAATGAGTCATTTGCATTAAGAGGTATAAAAAGACAGCAAAGCAGAAAGAATGGCTACCAAGCACAGGATAAAGGATAGAAATAATGCCACTAAAATGGGATGAAATGGGAACTAATAATGATTTATTCCAAATGCCATGGGGGTTTCAGGTTGATTGACTGGAGAAGATATGAAATTCAGATTAAATGAGTCCAAAGGTCTTTGGAAAGCATGATATCCGTACAACTGACAGAGAGGCAGGAATGGTGAAAACTGTTTTTAGACATTGGGACTGTACAGAAGAGTCTTAATATGCTCCCGAAAAAAATCTCTCTAATTAATATACTCATTTCAATCCTTCTGTAAGCAGAGGAATACTAACAGCTGTAGTTCTTTTTATAGCTACAGAATAATCCCTGGGACATACTGAATAGAAGGAAACTGAAAACAACATGCTACGGATTCAGAATGCTTTCTCAGCCATGGAGGCAAACTTTTACATACTTTGTAAGTAAAAGAGAATACTGTATAATGTAGAATACTATCTCCAGGTATATAATATAGGATTTACAAGGAGATAATTCATAGGAAGATAGTTATTGAGAGACTGTACTGTAATGCCTCTTATTAATATTTGAAATGTTTAGGCTTCAAATTCTCTTAATAGGCTCTGCACCCACTTTCACCCTTGTTTTGCACTTGATGTAACCTGTTACACCTGTCAGAAGTGAGTGTTAACTCCCAGCTGTGTCAATGGAGCATTCTAATTTTGTAGCATTTGACCCCCAACTTTACATAGGTGTTAATGGCAACACAAGATGCAGGCAGGGGAGAGAATTAAACCAGCTGTGTTTACAAGAATTTTTGAAGTATTCCTAATAGTTCTTAATGAAACTAGTTGTGCTTGATGGAAATCAGGAAATACACCTTCTGTTTGAATACAAAATATTCTTTTTTCCCTGTTTTCCTTTTTTATTACAAATTGTATCTATTCTGTCAGTTTATTATCTAACATGTTTCCTATCTGGTGGCAATATCCTGTTGTGCCAGGTGAATGGAAGAATTATAGATCTCTTTCATCTCTAACTTCTAGTAGTTTATTTACATGGAAACAGCTTGGTTTCTGAATAAATTATTTCCTTCTGCAGTATATTCCCTGCCTGAACTTCCACTTCTATTTGTTATCTCAGACTTTGCTATGGCAGAAATTTATGATCATGCTGAAATACAGGATTCTTTATAACTAGAAAAGGAAAACTCCCCAAAGAACTGGTTTATGATTATGTCCAAACTCTTAGACCATGTTTTTTTATTTACTATGCTTTTCCCAACAATTCTGGAAAAGAGAGCAAGGTGCTATGATAAATCATATTGATACTTCCTTTAAAATGTTTTTTGATGCCAGAATGATGTTTGAACTCCTTTTAAGAAGTTTGTGCCTGGTTTCAACATCATTTTGCACTGCATATAGCCAGTTACACCTGTCAGAAGCCAGTGTTCACTCTCAGCAGTGCTAATAGAGCAGTCTCATTTAGTAGCATTTGACCTCCACTGTGCATAGAGCAAGACCCACCATTCTCACCAGAAAGGGTAAAGGCAAGAAGGAAACAAGATCTGTAACTGATTACCACCATCATGTAACTGATTGTATAGCTGCTACTAGTAAGAGGAGTCAAAGACTATGGTTAAAATGCTGAAGCAATGGGGAGCTATGTTTTTATGACAAACTCTCCTTCCTCTCCCTTTATCAATGGAGTGCTTTTCTACCATACCAGGAGGCAATTGGAGCCCTTTATATAAGACATTTTGCTACAACTGCCCTGAACTGTGTATCTTTTCCTGGAATTCTAATGTCATCCTGAATGCAGATCTGGGGGCCTGAACCCCCCAGGAGGGCTGCAGGGATGTGCCAGACTCTTCCCAGAAGATGCGGGCCCCCAGATCTGTGTTCAGGATGACAGCAGGCTGCTGCTGCTGGTAAGTGATACTAGCTTTGCATTGAAAAGTTTGAGGTACATTTTCACAAACAATCCTGCATCTATCTCTTTGAAACTTGGCAGGCATCATGCCCTCTGAAGGGGCTACCATACCTGTAATGTTCACCTGAATCAGGTAAAAAATAACAAAGTTATAGGCATTTTTGTGATTCCCCATTAAAGTCTATGGGCGAAATGTTGAAACAGCGAAAGTTTCAACGAAACAAAATGGAACAGTGCTTTGAAACAGTGAAATGAAACACTGTCCCTTTGAAATGGCAAAATGGAAGTCAAAACGAAACAGTGCTATTTGGCACAGACCTAGTGGGTATCATTCTTAGGCCACAGATGTTTCAGAAGACTGTTCTAATCACTAGGTATTGCTGTATGTTGTTTGTGGGCTGCAGGTGGTCTACAGCAAAAATATCCTCTCATTATCCAGGCCCTTGCCCATCTTAAGCATGGAAATATTTTAAAGAAACATAAAACACAGGTGTCTCCAAGATGATCCAATTGTAACAGTCCACAAAAAAGAAAAATGAGAAACGGTTTGATAAGAACTCTGGCAGTCTTCGTTCTTAAAAAAAAGCCAGACTTAACTTAGATGACTGGGGAAAAAATTCCTAGTTCAGGCACTACCTCTGTGCTCAGTAGAATGCTTGGGCTAATTAAAGCATCATGGCTTTGTGCAATAGTGCTGATAATCCAGTATTATCTGGTAAAACTGGAAATAAATCTGAATTCTAGGAAATAGATGGATAACTTCCTACAGAAACTGGTTTCTAGTAAGGAATGATATAATAGAGTAAACATGTGGTGGGGGTCTTGAAATGAGAAACCAAATGGAGAAAGAAGTGGAGAGAGGAATCAGTAAAACATGGACAGAATTATTTTGCTAGTGGAAATACTGGAGGAGGTTTACTCCAGACCAAGAAAAAGCAGGTGTTAGGATGGCAGCTTTTAACCAGAGAGAGGTAGTTGGCCAATCATCAATAAAATAATGAGGTCTACTACGGGTGTGCAAAGTTTTGGTTGCTGATTTTGATTTGGAGAAGATTTGGCCCAATTTGGAGGCCAAATCACCGAATATTAATCAAAGCAGGAGACCAAAAAAACCCAACCACCTCTGAATCGATTCAGAGCCTCCAAATAGATTCAGAAAAAGATTTGGAGATTTGCAAGGCAGCCTTTCAGGGGAACAGAAATTGAGAAGAAGGAGGGAGAGCACTGGGGGAAAGACTGACATCTGTAGCTGGCTAGTGACTGTGATCTTTCCCTGAGTTCCCTTCCAATTACAGTGCTCTGGGGGAGGGACATCGAAACAGCACATGAGCCTCTGTCTGCAGCTTTTCTGTCCCTTTTGTGAGCTGTTTCTGCCTGAGCCCTGGGAAGGCCCCCTGTTACAAGCTACCATTCTTGCTGGTTTCATCCCGCTGCGCCTTAACATGTACAAAGTCACACATGTCACAATTTTTGCTTTCAGAAGCTTAAGGTACAGTTTCCTAGAAACCCCTGCACCCATCTCCGTGAAACTTAGCAGACTTCATGCCTTCAGAAGGGACTACAGTCCCTTCTATGTTCATCCAGATCTGCCAGACAATGACGAAGTTATAGGTATTTCAGTGATTCCCCATTATAGTCTATGGATAATTCTCTGAATCTTTCTGAATCGGTGCTGATTCAGCCGAATAGAGTCAGGGCAGTGATCTGAATCTCCGAATTGAATCACTGTCTTCCGAACTGGCCAAATCTGAATCTGAATCTGAACCGACTACTTCCATATTTGCATAGGCCTAATGTCTACTACAAACAGTGACAATAGTTACTTTAGGTATGTGCATTAGCATTCACAATTCATAGAATCATAGAAGTAGAGTCAGAAGGGACCTTGTAGATCTTCAAGTCCGACCCCCTGCCTGGGCAGGAGGGAAATTGGGCTCAAGTGACCCCAGCCAGGTAGGCATTGAGCCACTTCTTAAAGACCCCCAGGGTAGGAGCCAGCACCACTTCCCTTGGAAGTTGGTTCCAGATCCTAGCCACCCTAACTGTGAAGTAGTTCTTACGGATGTCTAATCTAAACCTACTCTCCAACAACTTGTGGCCGTTATTCCTTGTTATCCCGGGGGGGCGCTAGGGGAAACAAGGTCTCCCCCAAACCCTTCTGGTCCCCCCTAGTGAGTTTATAGATGGTCACAAGGTCCCCCCTCAGCCTTCTCTTGTGAAGGCTGAACAGGTTCAGGTCCCATAGCCTCTCATTGTAGGGTCTGCCCTGCTGTCCCCGGATCATGCAGGTGGCCCTCCTCTGGACCCTCTCAATGTTGTCCACATCCCTCTTGAAGTGGGG